ACAATTCATTTTAGCATGGTATATTTGTATAAAAGCCAACAAGTTTTAACCTCAAATGGCAGATATTTTAGTAATAAATAAGTAGAGGCAGTGGATAAATAAATAGGCTCATATGCTTTGCCCAATGCCTATAAGAAACACTAATCTGCGTAGGCTGATTATCTTAATTCGTAAACCTATTAAATTATGAGATTCCTTGTTTGGTTGAAATTAGGGCATCTCTCCCACTCCCTAGCCCCCTCATCCTCAGGTTTGAAAGCTTAGCGCAGATAGGCTTTCAAAAGGACAATGGATGGGATTTGTATGTGTCATTTAAGACCTGCATCTATAAGTTTGAGAGTACATGTCTATATTAGAGGAGAGAAGAATCGAAACTAAGACCTTAGATATATGTGTAAATACTTTTAACTATAAGTTTTTTTTTTTTTCTTTGTGTGGAGAGGAGAAGGTGGGGGATAGATGGGCAATTGGTGTGGGTTTTGTGGGGCCAAGGAATTGGAGCCTACAGATGTACAGCATTGGGCTGGCCTACAACAAAGCTCCTCTTACAATCACATGCCTTTATTAGGAGTTTAGAGGGTACCCCTCCTTGGGAGTAGGGTGGATCCATGTTATTCCTTTGTTGCTCACTTAAAAAAATAAATTAAAGAAAGTGGCTCTGAATCTTCCCCCACATGGCCTCCTGTTTCCATGTGCCCTGCTTCAACTTCCCTTCCTCTCTTCCCTTCTTTCTTTGTGATGGGGATTCTTCAACCATCATGTTGTTTAGTTTAATGCTTCAAATATGTTAACTTATGTTGCTTCTTCTATCCTCCAACCCATGAAATATTAATTTATCGCTCATTCTCTCTCTCTCTCTCTCTAAATTGTTCACTTCTGGTTTTGGATACACAAACTTTTTAATCATATCATTTAATCTGATGGGACCCTTTCATCCAATGTCACAAAAAGAAAAAAAGCAAAAAAAAGACTTGATCAGTTGGCATCACAACAAGGGTATCCAAGTGAATTCAGCCTAAACAAGTGGGGGGTGGGGAGAGGGGCGGTGGGGTACCCCTAGATGGGAAAGAAAAATAGACATATTTGAAAGCTTATTCTGATTTTGCATCCACTAATTAAAACCAACATGAGAGAGAGAGAGAGAGAGAGAGAGAGAGAACCAGTATAACAACACAACTTGGAAAAATAAGGAAAAAGTAGATTATTCTATTTTCTTTAAAAGAAAATTGATAATTCATGCACAGGGCCAGAATTGGATTTGACTGCATGTATAGGAAGATTTTGAGATTCCATAAGAGGCTGAATCTTCTGGTTTCCATGGGGGTCAAGAAAAATTTCAAGTACATCATCTTCACAAAACAATGTGCAAAGAATTAAAATGTAATTCACCTCAATTCTATTACAAAAGAAAATGAAGATGAAACCAATTCCATTCATTCCACTAGAGAATAAGAAGCACATTTTAGTCCATCTAAATATGCTTTTATAAACAAAAGATTCAGGGGCTTAGTCAAGTTGGTTAGAACGGATGTATTATGTACTCTCCACTCTGCACCTGAGTTCGAATTCTCCTCTCCGTAATCTAGATTATATTAAAGTAGAATGTCGTTTGTATATAAAAAAGAAAATGGACATTTTGGAAAAAGCAAAAGGAGAGAGAAAATTTTTAAAAGAAGCAAAAATGGACAAAAATGCCCTTATTTATTTTTAGATTTCCTAAGGAATCCAATACATTTGCATGTCTTTGATTTGAAAGTTGAGTGGTTTTTTTGTCTTTTTTGAAAAAGCTTTGGCTTTTTCCAAAAGTGAAATTTTTTTTATGTCTAAAACTTAAAAAACCTAAAAGGAGGACAAAAGATCCAGAGCAGGCTAGCAAGAAGAAAACCAAATTAAAACTCAAAAATTAGAACAGGCCCAGGCCCGAGTATCAGTTTGAACATTTCTTGTTTTGGTAAAAAGTTTTGGCCTCATTATAACATTTCCGCAGAAGTTTAAGCATATTTATGAGCATTTTACATCATATATTGGGCTAGCATCAATCTGGCCTAGAATTCTGGACTTATCACTAATCCCCTAATTAAAAGCCCAGCTATACCAGGCTTCACGTGGGCCGGTCTAAAGCTTATCTTGATGGCCAACCAAAACTGATAACCCCAACAAAAAAACGAAAAACACACAAAAACAAAAAAAACTTACCAACAGTAATATTAGAAAAAATTTAATTTAAAAAAATATAAATGATATTTTACTTTATTCTAATCTAAACTACGGGATGATGGATTCGAACTCAGGTGCAAAGCATATCCGCTCTAGCCAATTTGGTTAAGTCTATATCTAATTATTTAATTTTTAAAAATATTTCGTTCAAGAGTAATTGAGTTATCCTAACAAAAAAGATACACTTAAATTTATTGAGTAAATCCACCCAAAACGATGGAATTGAAGAATAAGAGGTCAAAAAGATTACAATTAGGAAGGAGATGAATGAACTTAATCTAAACAGCAACGTGCAGCATTCTATACAAACGTATTGTATGCAATTTGGTGGTCCAAGACACGTGTAAACAGTTGGTTTGATTGTTATCTCAAAAATTAGATCAACTAGATAACTTCAGCCGTCCGATCTAGCTCCAAAATGTCTACCCCGAAATTCAATTTTCCCCAAAAACACATTATAAAATATTTTATTATCAGGCCCTGGTTTACTAGGAGGATAGTGGAAGCCATGAACTTAAACAAGAAGCACAACTCGGCAAACAAACATTCCATCCAAGAAGCCACTCACCCACTCCATGATTTCAAACCCACAAAACGTGGCCAAGTTCACTAATTTAATCATTGTGGCTAGTTAATTATGATTCTTTCTTTCGAAATGCGTTTACTATTTTAATCATTTTTTGATATTCTCGGACTTATAAATTGTTTATCAGAACTCCCTTATTTTTTCCTTCCCCCTCTTTCTGTTTAATGGGAGTGTCATGCCCGTCAATTGCATGTTGTTGCTAGCATCAAGTTATGTTCGCCTCATTAGAAATTGTTCGTGTTTATTGAAAAACAAATACGCAATGATGTTGTTAACAGTCTGTAAATAATATATCAGTATGTTTTTTAAATAAAAACAATATCGACACATTATTGATATTTCATTTTTGAATGAAAAACAGACGTACTTAATCGTACAAGTCATCTTACTGTTCCGGTAGGTACCAAAACCTTAGCTTTTAATTTAATTTTTAAGCATAATGAACTGCCTCCTTGTTCGGTTGCAGCAATTATGAAAAGCGATTAGGTTTACAAATTTATACTCGATTGGCAATACTGTGGTGTTGGAAACTGCAAAGAAGAAGTGTCCACGTGCCATCACATGGACAGTGCTAAATCACCATGCCTATGTAATAATTAGAGCCAATCCCCATGCACTGGGCCTTGCTGTAAAATTAAACCAAATTCCCTCGCAATTGATTATGGTGATACCATTATCATTTCTTATTCATTTATCCAATCTCCTTAGTCCGTTTGGTTCAAAAAAAAAAATTTGAAATGAAATTATTTCTCATATCATTTTTTAAGGAATGAGAAATGGAGATTCACTTTCCATATTTGGTAATCTTAGAAAAGTAACTAAGAAATACCACTTTATTTTCTTTCACGTGTTTGATTTGTGTAGAAATGTAAAACAAAGTTTGTTTAATTTTCCGATTATACCCATATGAAATCAAACAAAAAAAGAATGTATGTAATGCTATATTGTGATTCTAAATTGTTAATGAGGGCAATATAGTCAAGAAAAATGTGTATATAATATTGACTCATTTTCTCAAACTTTCCCATGAGGAAAACAATACTCAAGAGGGAAGGAGGGCTTCACTTTCCTCCTACTTTATGAAGATTATAGACTGAACTAGTAGTCTGATAGGAAACTGTTCACACTCAATTTCTCGCTCAGTCTAGTCGAATGAATGAGAACGGAGCTCCCTCTCCATGTGCAATGCAACGATTTTTCATGCCTGAACTTACTAAACATCGGAAGACAATTGATTTCCCATCCTTAAAACTCATTTCCCATAAATCAAACAAGGCCTTAGTGTTTGACAAATAAACAGAAAATACCTTTACCATTTCTTATTCACTTTCTTTATAATATTCCAATGTGTGTATTTTGTAAGTTCATAGGGATAGCTTGAAAAAACCAAGTCATATATGAAGAACTCTCACAAAAGAAAATGTAAAAACTACACAAAAAATCCAAAAAGGTAAATATAAAATATAGTTAGCCAAACCATAAGAACACCACCACAAAGTAAATATTAAATTTTAAAAACTAATAAAAAATCTACAGAATTCTCATTTATCTATTTATGTTTTATTTAATACAAACGATAGTCTAAACTATAAAAAAGAGGAAATATTAAGATTCGAATATGAAACCACTAGTCTACAAGTCAACGTCATTTCCTACGAGACTATGCCCCATTGACAAAAGTTATGTTCTATTACTCTATTATTAAAGGGAATTGTTGCATCCTTCATATCATAGTCATCGTAATTTCAAATTTGCAAGAACACATGGGACCACAATTCCTCCGCTTAAATTAAATCACACTCTCCGCCAAAGTCTAGCAGCGAATGTTGCTACCCTCGTCCGACTTCAGTCTTCTAGAGCCATTCAAGCAATAAATCCCGCTATTTGATTATCCATTTTTCTTTTACATTTTTTTTCCTTTGTAAAAGACATTAATATTTTATTATTTAAATTATCTAGTGGACTTGTCCATTCAGTGTAATTATAAATATTTTAAGCAAAATACTATTATAAATATTTTAAGATAATTAAAAAAGTGCAACTACTATTTCATTCGTTTAGCCCAAAAAAAAGATATATATATTTCGCTGACGTTACATTTTGTAATATATTATTATTATTTTCTGGTAATTATTTTAAAATGATTTACCAAGTAAAAGACGTATATATTGATACATTGTTTTTGAGAAGGTGGGTTCTGCTTCCACAACTCCTGTTGCAGTTTTTCATTCTAGAGAGAGAGAGAGAGTGGGAAATAAAGAAACGGTCTTGGCCCTCATTATTTGACTTTTGTATTGAAATTCCGTATTTTCCCACAACTTTATTCGCTTCTGTTATGGAATTTCAATTCGTTGGCCTCTGCCTCACGGACTGCAAATTCCAGGACCTCTGAAATCCGCTCCTTCGTCTTCTTCTCAGCCTTCCTTCCTTTGTCGTTTTCTCTCAAGGCCTTCTGCAGATTGGCTCCTTGATGGTCTCCTTGACGTCGTTGATGATAATTAATTCAAGCCAATCCTCCAACTGGGTTTGCGCAGTTTCGAGCTCTCTCCCTCATTAATGTGAGTTTCAACGCTTTTGTTTACCCGTCTTTGTCTCTGTCTCTGTCTCCCTCGTTACTAAAATAAATGCATGAACAAGAAGAAAGATTCCTAACCCAACAATTTCCCAATTCACTGGATCTTCAAACTCATCAAAACAACCCGAGAATGTTCTTTTAATCCGATTCCCAAATCCCATATCAAAATACCCTTTTGATTGTTTGATCAAACTCTCTTTGTTTGAATCAAATTGGTGGGTTTTGGGCTGATGGGTTGCGCAAACTCGAAGCAAAAGTCACGATGCCGGCACTGCCAGAGCCCCTATTCTCCAGTTTCCCGAAGCTACTCAATGCACGTCCACCACCCACCTCAAACCAAAGGCGATAGCTACCATGTTGTTGCCCTCACCTCCTCCACCTTGGGCTCTCTCAAGGTCGATCCCTCCCTTCAAAGCAACCACCACCTCGAGGCCAAGAGATTTGCTAATGGCAATGATCACATCGACAAGGACAACATAATTGGTAACGGTCACAAAACTGATGAACATGGAAAGGAAAATGTGCAGGACAACAAAAAGGAATTTTCAATGGGACTAATCGAAGCGAAGACATGGTCTAATATGATCGATCAGAAAATCCCAAAAATTGTACCCAGGACACCAATCTGGACACCCCCGGGCGAGCCCGAGACGATCAATACTTGGGAGCTAATGGAAGGCCTTGAAGACATAAGCCCTTTCAGGTCACCAGCTCATCACCTCCGGAGTTTCTCTTTTGATGTTGTTAGGAGCCCAAGTCCAGTGCCCACTTCCCCGGCTGATCGCCCCAAATCAAAGCTACACGAAAACGGTACCGTGTCACCTAAGCCCAAGTGGCTTCAATTGACAGAAGACGATCGTGTGAATTCCAATTCCTTGATCTCAGACTTTGATCCCGAAGTCATTTCCGCGTTCAGAAAATCGTTATCGGAGCTCAAATCCGACGACGACCCTTTTCATTTTTCACAGTTGGGTGTCCAAAAGCAGCCGGCTTTGGCCTGCAATGGCGTTGTTACAGAGTACGAATGTGATGCAGTACCTTGTGGCAAGGTAAAGGACAACAAGGACAGGGAAAGGGTTGTATTGTACTTCACGAGCCTCCGAGGTGTAAGGAAGACGTACGAGGACTGTTGCCATGTGAGGGTGATATTGAAGGGCGTAGGGGTCCGGGTCGATGAGCGAGACGTTTCGATGCATTCGGGGTTTAAGGAGGAGCTGAAGGAGCTTTTGAAAGATGGGTTCAGTGGGGTTGCCCTGCCCAGAGTGTTTCTGGGAAACAAGTACATTGGTGGAGCTGATGAAATTCGGCAATTGCACGAAGATGGGAAGCTCGAGAAGTTGCTTGAATCTTGTGAAAAATTGGATGGTGGCGGGGCTGGAGGTGGTGGAGTTTGTGATGCTTGTGGGGATATAAGGTTTGTGCCATGTGAAACATGTTCAGGGAGCTGTAAAATATATTATGAAGATGCTGATCGTGACGAAGAAGATGAAGAAGAAGAGGAGGAAGAAGCAGAGGAGGGTGAGTCGGGGTTCCAACGGTGCCCAGATTGTAATGAAAATGGCCTAATACGTTGTCCAATATGTTGCTATTAGTTTTCTGTGGCCTAAACACAGGTAGTTTTGACCATTTTTTTGTGCTTCTTTTGGGTTTCTTTCTTGGTGAGTTGTTTGTTGTACAGTAAAGAGTTTTGGTACATTCCATTTCATGAGAGAAAAAAAAAACTGCAATAGGAAACAGTGAATAATGTTTCAAGCAGGCAGAAGCAGGTCCCCTCAACCTCTATGAAGGCTGTATAATTTCCATTAGTTTTGTTTCCAAAGAAGAAAACAAATGAGAAAGCCTTGTATTGTAATACTATATATCCCCTACAAGAATTTGAAGAGCAAATATGAAATGCCCTCTATTCTCAGCTATTTGTTCTTCTTTCAGTTGTTGTATGCACACACCACCATAATCTTTGAAAACCTTGTTTTCTAATTGCATGCCACACTTAAATTTGATGCCAATACAGTCACTATAAAAGAGAAGAATTTGTGCATGTCACGGGAGTGCTTTTTCCAACCAATTACTGTTTGTTATGTGAAAAAGTTATCACACGTGACAGAACGTAAATGATTATAATTAACAAAACAATGTTATTCCCGTGCTATACAAATACTAACAGACCATCAACTTCTTCCTTTAATTCTGTTCAGGACACCTAAAAAATCATTTAATTTAGCAGAAAAATAATGTAATTTCTTAAGGGTAGTGCAGAAAGTGCTTGACTGATAGACTGTTAGTGCTGCGGGCACATCTTTTCGTATATTATAGAAGAAGGAAGGAAGTAGGTTTGGTATGAAATTCAAGTATGTTGATGATTGATTATATAATTTGTACTCAATACTATTTTATGGTTGTGTTGTGTATTCTATATAGTAGTTGGCTTCAACCATGTCAAAGATGGGAAGGGTCATCAAACATGTTGATGCATGCCAAGCAAATTAGGTGAAGAAAGAAAGAAATGATCAAGGTCAATGTCGGCGAGTGAACAAAATTTGATAGTGCCCTGGTCAATCCACCGTCTCTGGTCTTGACAAGTAAAATACAAGTAGGGCATGAAACCTACTTTACAACCCCAAAAAAAGGGCAAACTAATGTATTATTATTTTCTTCAATAAAGTTTCTGAGAAATTAGATTCTACAAATAAACAATTGCCCTCTTTATCTAAAAGCTTTGATTAAAAAAGACTTGGAAGTATCACCTGAAGCTGATGAGTTGGTGGAAAAAAAACCAAGGCGCAGACAACTTATTGTATATGAATTAGACTTAGACAGGACGGCTCATACCAATTAAGCAAGATACTAGGCAGAATATATTATCATGGCAAGGTGCCATAAACAAATGGTGGTGCCACAAAGGGACATCTACATAATCCAAACTAATGGGTTTTTTTTTTGGGTATCCAAATTCAAATCGGAGAAATCACAATTGGCTAAGTGACACTCTCCATCTTATCAAACCATATCGATTTGGGTTGTTAAGAGATAGACCCATAGAGGCCATTAATGTGCTATGTGGTGCCCAAAAGGAAAGGGAAAAGGATAAAAGACCAATGGAAACATCTGTTTCTTGTCGAAAACATATGTCATTAGTATTTAGTAGTACCGCTGAATAAACACAGTCCCATTAATTTTTTTGGGGTAACGACATTATGTAAAAGTTGCATTTGGGTACATTACATATACATGGCTTACACAATTGTGGTCCATCCCTCTGTCCATTCCACTTGGGTTCTTTTTCTTTTCTACTATTTGCTATAAGCGTACATTAATTTAAGTTACGGAAAGGGGATTTGAACTTGGTTGTAAGGACTCACTTCTTTGGCTAACTGATCTAATCTACAGTGTGATCCAGCACATTGTCCTTCACTATTTTTCTCTCTTTGTAAAGGGAGATTGAAAGATGTTCAAGTCTATACATATAATGTTGTTGGATCAATATCAATATTTTTGGTTGCCACATATTCGGCTGGTTCTCTGGAAAGTGATAGCCATATGTGAAAAGGGCAAACCAGTTCCCAGCCTTTTAGTTGTATAATATGATTTCAATGATGGGAGTCTTACACCGCCATGTTTTACAATATACGTTTTCCCTAACACCAAACAAAGCGTAGAGGAGAAAGTCATGTGGATGCTTTGTCTGCTTTTGTGCGTTCATAATCAGTAATGGGCATAAAGCTAGGATCTCACCAACTAAAAACCCGTTGGTTAATCAATCTTATTGAGTTGAGCATGTCATGAATTAAGGCATAAACCCAAAAAAAAAAATGGAAGTAAAAAAGGTAGCTTTCTAAATAAAGCTGGGATCTTATTAACTAAAAGCAAAACAGTGTTATTCTCGTGCTCAGACCTGAGCATTAAGGCATAAACCCAAAAAACGAAGAAGCAAAAAGGTAGCTTTCTGAAGATGCGAATTAGCAAATAGCAGTCTAGAAGATGTGCAGGGCACTGGTGGTTGGCTTTAGATGTCGGCCAAAAAACATAATGTCAACTTTAGAACATTACGGGGTCGTTGGGAAGCGAAGACTTGGGCTTGCTGAATAAGTATATACTGATCGGTTGGCAGGTGAAGAACAGCATTATTAATAAAACAAATAAAGAAATTAGAAGTTAGTTAATGGGAGGCAGGCAGTGGGAGTTGTGAAGCTTAAACCTTAATTATGAAAGTAACAACCGGAGTCTTTGTTTTATGGTTGAAAGATTAACATTCTGGTTGTTCAAATGAGAGTCAAGCCATAGTTGCTGACCATCCAGGGGATGCTTGCCTTCCAAGACTGGTCAATGAGATGATATGGTCAAAGCAGATAACATGGTCAAAAGAAAAACCAGCAAGATTGTTTCTCAACCATTTTGAAAGGCCATCTATTAGATCACAATTTACTTCAAAGCCTATTTATTTGCAAAGAAAATTTCTAGGAGATGAAATGGACAAGACAAATGTGAACGTTGGTTATTTACTGGTATGAGAACCCAAATCAGCTGCAGCTTTGCTTGCACGAGTCAATGCATCTGAAACCCACAGAGCTCCCTTGGCAAAGAAGCTGCTATTGACTAGAGCGCTTCCTGCTGCCACAGCTGCTTCCCCAGCAACTGTGGCTGCTACCACTGCTGCTGTTCCAGCAACAGTTGCGGCCGATTTGGTGATATCGGAAACATGGAACTTCTCGTCTGTGGATTTAACAACTTCCATGCCTGCATTGATTTTCTCAGTGAGCCCAATTCTATTGCTTAGCTCATAAACCTTGGCTGCTGCAGTAGCTGAGACTTGATGGGACTCGTCGAAAGCTTTGGCCTTTGTTAATGCGTCCTTGCCCAAAACATATCCCTTGGCTACCATTGTTTTGACAACTTCCTGAGCAACTGTTATTGCTTCTCCAGGAGTAGAAACGAACTCACTTGTGTGAAAAGCCTGATAATGTTATACAAGATTTAAGAAACAATGAAAAGTTTGACTAGCAATTGAGACAAACAATTTGATAATTAAGCCAAGTTTGGATAATTAAGTGGTACATAACATTCATAATTAATCTCACACCCACCCACACAATCTCTTAATTGAAATCAAGTTAGAGCTTCTAATTTTTCTGAAAGTAAATTTTTGGCAAAATGATGGTGGTTTTTTATTTTCGCCCTATTTGGGCCTGGATAAGGATTTTACTGATATTTTAGTAGAGTTTAAGCCTTTGTTCAATTGTCTGAAGAGGGCCCAAGACAAGGCTTTGCTTACCTTTGGGCCGACCCTTTGCACATTTTATCCAAATTTTCTACATTACCGTCTTTCTTTCTCAGTTTAGTATTCATCTATGATACCTTTTTAACCATCCGATTAAATTCTTAAAAGAACCACTGGAATTTCAAAATCACATGAAAATTTGTTGTGCAAAATTGTGCTGTAATTAACCTTCAACCAATCCAATCCAAGTAGTAGGTTACATACCATTGAGCTAGTGTTGCCTTCAGGGTTGTATGGATTGTTCCAAGGATCAGATTCATCAATATAACTTCCCCAGCGTGTTATGGATACACATTGGTCTACAATGCTAGCTCCCTGGAATTTCAAAACAAGGACGGAAAGAGAAATTAATGAACAAACAATGTCAAACATCCGGGGCATTGTGGGACTAAGGTTCATCCTTGGATTTAGTTCAGACAAGGCATTTCAACTCCATATGAAAAAGTGATCATTTGTTTAAAGCAAAAGCAGTCAAAAGTTATGAATCACCATTTATCACAATTCAGGGAACGCATCTTACGCTGAGCATCACAGCAGTTTGTAGAGCAAACGCATCTCTGAATGTCACATATGCAGTACAGGCGTATTCACCAGATCTGTTCCCAACAACAAAAGCATTCTCCCAATCAAATACACATTTATTAAGAAATTTCAAAGGAATGAATGAATCAGGTGAAATATTGTACAACTCATGGAAGCATATGACTTATCATATTTGATCTTTAGGACCTGTCATCTCAGTTTTGAAGATTTCTCATGACAGATGCTTAAATTTATCCTTTGTTCTTTTCTTCACAAGCACGTTTTTATTGAGCGAGAGCAGTCAGTTATCAAATGGGAATTGACTGAATTACTAAAAGTAATTCCACTGTTGTTCATGCAAACTAAAGTTTATGATCCCATTGCTATGGTGAGGCCATTATGAATATGAAGATTCCGTTCACAGAAAACACAGCAATGAGCACACCTGATAGCCAAAATGATGACTTCTAAACTTGTGGAAAACCGAAATTATATACCATTGTTTATGATGCTGACTTCTATTTCTTTAATTACTTAATTCTAGATAATAAAAAAGTTAAAGAGGCTTCACAAAAGGCATTTTCCCTTTTGACCTTCTCCAAAAACAAGCAGCTTCTGACCAACTCAATGAGTTTATGGTGGACAAACCCCATGTATAATCATCACTAAACAATCACTTTCCAGTTTCAGTGCAAAATAAAAAACAAAACTATGGAATCATTGTTAGTAATTAAAAGCAAGGGAAGATGAATTCTATACCTGATGACTTCAACATGCTCAACTGCACCACAATGACTGAAAAAGTCGTAAACATCCTGCTCTGTAGCTTTAGGGGATAAGCTTGTAACTTCAGCAGTGTAACCACCAGGGTACATTTTCCTGAAATCCTTGGAATAAAAAACTGGATTGAGAGGATACTAAGGATCATCCATACGCCATAGGCCCATAACCCTCAGTGGTCCCTACATGAAATTCAAAGGAAAAAAACAGAAGAAAAGACAATTGGATGTTTCTTCTAACATCTAGTGAAACCATGAAGTTTAATTCCAATTCAATGATAACTTGAACACACCAGCCTTAAAATAAAAGTTAAAAACTTGAAACCCATCTAAAGTCAGATACATTCCAAGGCAATGATGCAGTTTCCCTGCATGATTCTCAGCCACTCTTATAAGAGGGCCTGCATTAAGTGGCTATAAAACAGCATGTTCTGCGCATCAATTAACGCAGCATTAATATGCACAATTTCGGATTATAAACAAAGAAAGAGAGGATTTTTCACCTCAGAACCATCATAGAAACACAGTCTCCTACAAATTCCTAAGAACCATGTCAACTTGTATTATAAGCATAAAAGAAAGCCAAAGGTAGTGGGAAAGTGACAAACTTTAGGCACAGTGCTAATGTCTTTCGATTAATTGGCGCGATTAACCAAGTCAAAGCCACTTGATGATTCTGTCATTGATAATTTGGATAAAAAATAAACGAATTCGAAGCTAATTTGATAATGGGAACTAAGCGAACTGAAAAACCCAGAGAGAAAAGTTTGTGAACTTGAGAAATATTACAGTTTGCATACCTGTTGTCGAATTTTGAGAACGTTAGAAGCTCCAATGAAGAAGAAGAAGAAGAAGAGCGTGGTTTTGATTGTCGTTGGAGGAGCGTGGCGTGGGGCTTATCCCTTTAAGCCGCCGTCGGAGATTTCTATGATCCGAGTGGCGGGGAATCTAGTTTTCAGTTAGGATGAGGATAATCATAAAGGTCAAAAGGTCTTTAAAAAATAATAATAATGAAAATAAATAACAAAAACAGGTAAAGGTTGCTGGGCAAATGAAATGATTCGGTAGAACGGTGTCGTATTGGTTAAGGTCCAACCGTCCAAACACTCAGAAGACGAAATTAGTGAAAAGCCCCGCGAAATTATAACTTTTTCACACATGCCCCGCAAAATTAAAAATGGTGTGATTTTAGAAAGTCCTTGATATCAGAAATTAAGGCGCGCACTAAACATTGTTGAGCTATTTCTTATGTTTATGTGTCATACTTATTATGATGATTTTTTTTTCCAAAGTTCTTAGATGACAAGCAAACATATAACACCAACATCAATTAGTTGTTGGTCTAGTGGTAATTATCTCTCCTTAATTGGAGGTGATTCAACTTGCATACAAGGGCGGAACCATGAATTTTTCTAGAGTTGTGCTAATTTTTTTTTTTTATATATGAAAGATCTATATAAACAATGAGAACAAAAAAAAAATTTGGTATGCTAATTAATACAGTGAGAACCAAAAATAAAACATATATCATTAGTAATATATAAACAAGAAAAGAGAAAGGAGAGAGGAGAAAGAGAAAAGAGAAAGGGGCAGGAAGGAGGAACCCCCATTTTTGAGAGGAAGGAAGGAAGACAATAGTTTGGGCTAGTTTTTTTTTTTAATTTCTTTGGTCAAAGTTTTGATTGTACTTAATGGAAGTGGGCTGACTTGTGGACCAGTGCACATATAGGCCCATTTTGAAAAAACAGAGCGGTCCTGGAGCCCACCCCAACCACCCCTTGCTCCGCCCTTGCTTACATAGAACGATATACCTTTATGATGAGTTAATTTGGTATATTTTTAGTAACTTGTTGTGGATATATATGTTGGCCCGTCAAACATATATATAACACATCAAAAACAGTACACGGAGAAAGCAATTTGAACAAGATAAGAAACTGCGTAACATGGCTCATGTGGACTCATGACTTGCAATGCACACTATGATCGTGCTTCGTGATGTATCTAGTTGATGGTGATGGTGATGGTTTGGGGTTCATGTGGAGAGGGGAGGATTCTAGTTGAGCTTTCCACAAGAATTTGAGTCATCTTTGAGAGGTCGATGGTTTGAAGAATATGAATATGAATATATACTCATGATCACATGCATAATGACATGTCATTAACTTAAGTAGACGATGCCTACGCCTTCCCAATTATATAACTTAGCCGAGTTCTGTACGTACATTCCAAGTTTTCCTTGCCATATTTTTATTCCTTTGTTTGTTAGCAATCAAACAAAACTAGTTCCTTGGTTTTGTGAATAATTTTAATTTAAGTAATGTGATGTTGCGTAATTATAAAGACAACCTCCTCGATGGATTTCATAAATGTTCCTTTTAACGTTGACAACCTTTGCAGGTTGATTTAATTAGTGTCTTCATCATGTTTGTTGAGCCAGGGAAATATCCTTTAAACCCTCTCCTAATCATCCACATCTACATATGTAAATATATTTGTCATCTTATCAGCTAACAGTTTCTAGACGACTCCCTTCGATGAATGGTCAAACTCATATATTTCCTTTTCAGATATATTTGACCTTATCAGGGTGTTAGCAATGGTTGTTAGCTCTTGCCCCTTGCATGCTTCCAACTGGTCCTGGATTCAAGTTCTCGTGGTATCACTTTACAATTGGGGCCTATTGCTTGACTAAATGCATAATAAGTAGGAAAATATAGATGCATGTATGCATGTGGAAACTCTGGTATGAACTGTAACATTCATATGTGGAGACGGAAGTTATTTTGGATGACAAAAGAAGCAAAAAGAAAAAGAGTGGTCATCCATAGAGTTGATTGCCTAACATAATGAGTGGTCCAATGCAAAACTAGCTAGCTAGTCCATGTTCTAAGGATATAAAATTTTCGGGGAAACGAAAGGATACAAATTCATGAGGTAAACTTACTCCCAGTTTATACTACAGTCCTGCCCAACTTTGACATAGGTTAGGTCGATCTCCCTATAGATGGATCGATGTGGTTCATGTGAAAAGTTAGGTGTTTGTCAAAAATCCTCATAATCAAAGATGTGAGTGTTATTATGCATCGTTAATAAAGGTGCCTCTCAAATAAAATTGTTACGAGGCTGCATATACATATATGTATATTTATCCTGGGCAGTACATGTTCATACGGACTGGTGAACGAGAATGCTAGCTGCATGGGCATGTGGGCAAGATTCTTTTTGGAAGGCAATGCCACCATATAGGCTGTAACTGTAAGTCGTGTTGACGTTGTACATAATTCGACAAGGGACTTTTTGGAAGGCAATGCGACCGTATGACATATATACAAAGTTGATTTCGTCCTCACACAAACACATGTCGACAAACCTCATGAGAAAAATACCTTACGGAGTCCCTTATGAAGACGTAGATAGATGCCTTATTCATACAAACTGGTGTTTAGGAGTTTCGAATTTGAGATCCACTTATCTTTTAGGCTAAACATATTTTTTCACTATGGTATATATGGTATGATTCCATTGACAATATCCAATCTAGATTCAACAAATTATTAAGATACGTACATATGAGGATAAGATAATATATTCAATGTCGATATGTATACCTTTTTTTTCTCTTTTCTAGAGACTAGCTAGCTAGAGTTTGTATGCCAATTAACCAAGATGATTTGCGGCCCCTAATTTAATCTGCACATCCAAATCCACTCTGCATAGTTCGAATCGCCGGCCCTATATAATAATTATTTTCACGTGAGTATTTGGTGGCTGTTGTGCTGACATTTTGTGACTTGTTGGTTTGGCCACTTTGATCTCACAGTGTCACGGCCAAGAAAAGTGTTGGTTTATGATATTAAAACTGGCAAGCTAAGTAATAATATTCCATGCAAATGGTTTAACCCAAGTGGGTAAGTGGGATAAGTGGAAGAAAGAGAGTATTGCAGATATAATTTTATAGTTTCAATGAAATGAAGCTAGCCTAGCAAGTGCATAAAGACTTGCTGTAGTAGTCCAAGTCCTCCTTAATTTATTGAACAAACTTGAATACATATTACTAGGCCCTCGCTCTAATTAACAACACAGGACAGGACAGGACAGGACAGGACATCTTTAAATACATACAGTACTGCTGAGTACCCTAGCTAACTGGCCTTGTTTAATAATCTGGTGACCAGATAACCTAGATGAACACAATTTAACTATATAAATTCATCATCAAAACACAATTATATATAAATATATAATTAAGGGTCTGATGATCATGATGTAGCTGATCATCTACTGCGTAATCAAGCTCCTAATTATGGCGGCCTCCGGGCTATCAGCATCAATTGTCGAGAGCAGTTGGGAGAGCCGCTCACTTAGGTCGTCAACCTCCCTGTGTAAGTTTCTGATGTAGCTGCAAGTCTCTTGTAGGACCTTAGATGCTGATACCTGCAGAGCTCGCGCGACATGATATCAATCAAAAGTCAGATCTCAATTAGCGCCACAACTACTGGCTTTCTAATATTTCTACGACAAACTTTTCACAAATTATTACGAACTCTCAACCATCTATTTGAACCATACGATACATATAGCTTAAAAAATTCTCCACCTTCTACATATATATACGACCACACATGCCACATGACACACACATGAAGAGGTTTAGTGGTAAACGGTCCAACTCCAACTCCAACCATGACATTGTTTAGTATATTTTGGTCAATGAGAAACCTATATATATATATATATATATATTGTCTAGGTCCTATGGAAAATGTAACAAGTCCTTGATGTCCGGGTCAAGTTTAGACTACTCGAACAGTCCAAATTGACTACAATATTACAAAGTGCATGTGGTGCATTTACCATGATATACCCTAAAGTTATTATTATTTCTTCTCCACAGTTTCCATCTACCTGCGCTTGGGTTGTTTAAAACTTTTAAGCCCAATTATATATGATATATATATATGAAACTGTTAATCGCATTCTACAAAAGGCATGCACTTCTCATAATTACTCACTCATTTATTGTATTCTAAAAGATATATGATATACGAGAGAAAGAGTAGTTTAGTTACCTTGTCGGAGCGCCTATCACGAATCTCAGGAACCAGTTGGCGTAATTTGGAGACAAGTTCAATGATTTGGTCATCTTTGATCGTTGGAGTTCCAGACTGCCTCGACCTTCTGCTAGACATGATCTCTAGCTATATATCTAGACTGTTAGCTACAGCTGGTTTTATATATATATATAAAGAGATCGATGATCAGACTTGCTACTGGGCTTTATATATTAATATTAATATATATATATAGCTAGCTGGGAAGGAGAAATATTAACCTAAAACAGGTAAGTGGGCACGTACATAAGAGCCAACTTGTGAGGAAAAAGTACTCGAGAGGAGGTAAAAGAAGGAGAAGAAGTAGATCAAAAGGAGGAGGAGAAGAAGAAGAAGAAGAGGAGCTGGTAGCAGAAAGACCAAGTACTACAAGTCCTATATATATAAATAAGATATATGAATTTATAACCCCAGACAGCGAAAAGAGAGATGTAAGGAGAGGAAGGACCACAAGGGAAAACGAGCAGAGAGAGAAGGCGTACAATAACTTAGACAGCGATGTTGGATGTGAAGAAGACAATTGCGTTGGAGAAAGTAGTGTACTAGACCTGGTATTTTAAGCCAGAGGGAGAGAGAGAGAGAGAGAGAGAGAGAGAGGGCATAGACTTGTTGTGTGTGTGCTCCCAAGTTGGGGTTTGATTTCAAGTGGGCTTGGAGAAATGTGTTTGTTTTTGAGCCAACAATGTGGGCCCTTCATGTACATGTCGCAATACGCAACACCATGTGATCATCATAGGATACTGATCCTCTCTACTTCATAAACTATGTCCCTGAATTTTATTCACCAATGGCCTCTTGCCACGTTCACCTCCTTTGAATTTTCAGCCACAACTCCTATGTTTCAGGGCAGTCACCAGAGAAAACAGAGAGAGACGCAGCAGGTACTTCTTCTTCTACTACTTGGCATGCTGTGGTTGCCTTTAACACAAGCTGGACCTATATGTTCTACTTAATTCCCAAGAAAATCGTATCAAATTCTCATATGCATTATGCAAGGGCTAATTATGAATACTAATACTCAGTTTCTCTATTGTTATAAAACGATACCAAAAATAGTAAGAGCACTTCCACCCATTTGCCGTGGCAAAAGGCAAGGGCAGGATAATGGTTGTTACTATTCATGTGAATAAGGGTAGTCCTTGCAAAAGGTTTGTGGTGTTTCCACCCATTCCCATGGCAGTCCAAGGGCAATCACTATTCACATGAGATATGAGGAGATGAATTTGTATAGAGTTTTGGTGTGGGAAGTAAAAAATATGACTAAGTATTTATTTAAAAAAATGCTGAAAATTTTAGTTTTTTTTATAGATTTTTATTTTTATTTTTATTTTGATGACATCATCGCTGACGTCAGCAAATCCAGGCAACAACCCAGGCCATTCTTGTCTTTGGGCCTGCCCAGACTTGTGGAGCCCACCAGTTGCCCCGGGCTGCATTTGCGCGATGGAACCTCTACTTGGGACTTAAGGCCCCTCATGCCCGGGCCATAGCTAACCGCTGAAAGTGCTCTAAGGATCACAGACTTCACCCAAAAAATATATAATTAACGAAGTAAATCTTTACTCTGTATATCTCCCTTTACATGTCACTAGCACATATTCGTTTAGGACACAAATAACTAAGTGAGTGCATAGCATATTAGCATTTAACATACGACCTGGATTAATTGTGAAAGGCTCAAAGCCTCCAGGGGGTGGTCACATGGCATTTCCTGCCACACACGACATGCCACGTGGCATGCCGTAAACCTGAGTACATACACGAGAGGGTGTTGTCGTGGAGGTGTTCCTAAAAGAGGCATAGATGTGAAATTTCCAGGCTTTTGTCAAGCACTGTCACGTGTGACTATAAAATTAGACGACCTTAATTGTCTGCAAGGACCCCTCCACCTCTCCTCCTCCTCTGTGAGCCTCTGTGTTTTGTGTTGTGTGTTTATGCACATGTGTTACAATAGCCAAATTCTATTTTAGCCAACCACCAGCAATATCTTTAACAACGATCATTTCGGGCACCCACCAACGAAATAATATTTGGGATAAATATATTGTGTTGTGTGGGTATGTATCTTTGATGTTTCTAGATCTCTAATCTCCATGTGCTACATATATACATGCACATCATGTTCTCAATTTGAATAATAATTGATCAAGTGAATACTACCGAAATGTATTAACAATGTATAATATCACATTGGCACCAAAGAAAGTTTGATAGATGAATTTTCTAGCATTTGTCTATCTCCAATCAACTGGTATATGTATACATATATATGCACAAAATTTTGCGCACACGCATATACAGATGCCGTATACATAACGAGCAATGCTAGGCATACCACATTCACATGACTTAATTATTACAAGAAGGTAAGAAAATTGACCACCATATATGAATGTTTTTGTATCTTGCATCGACATCTTTATCTCATTGATTGTAATGTGTTGTCCTTATATATACATGCTGCATGTGATGTTGCTGTAAAAATGAGGGCGAAGTACATGACCCCATTTTACTTAATGGACCGCAAGAGGAGAGATTCATTTGAGGCAAAATCGGCTCCTTTATATTAATCTAGGTGTCTATTTATCTTCGTGTTGTTGTTTTGGTAAATCATTATGCTCAATGAGCCGTATAGCTCACTCTATGAGGTCCCCCCATTCATTCATAAGGTGTTGCCAATTTTTGGGGTCCGCTGGGGGCATATGTGTTTCATTTCTCAAAATTTTGTATTATTTATTGGGGTCTTGCTTTTATGTGGAAAGGACATTAGGTTTAAACCCAAAACTTCAATGATGGGTTGTTATATCCGATATAGCTCTTCATGAATCTTCCTGAAAATTATATATATATATATACACACTAGTCTCTTTGCATACGTTCTCACTCGCGCGACTTAATAAGCATGCAGTACACTTTATATCAGAAGAATTTTGTTTAATATAACCCTTGATTGATTCAATTTGATTCGTTGAGTTTGTTGTTAGTTGAGAGGTGATCATGAGTCTCCGACAAATTCATGCCTTGATTTACTCATTAATGAATTTTGTCAAAGTGCTTAATTTTGAATATCTGCAAGTCAAAACTGATATAAATGATTTGATTTGTGAATTTGCTTTCAATACTGAATAGTTTTTGAATCTCCAACAAATAATTAATGATGTCTAATTAGGCTCTTGTTAGCACGATGCACCTAAATCCTACTTTTCTTCATCACGAGTTAATGCAGAGTTTACCAGCGAGCACTCATTGCTTGATCACCTAAAGACATGCATGTTTAAATAGTTTCTTCTTTCTTTTTATGTTGTTTTGCCGACTAAGTTGAAAATTAAAGCCTTGCAGATCTCCTGGCGCTCAAAGTTTCCATGAGGACGCTGACTGATTAACGAATTGTTTTGGTGGAGGTTATCTGAATTCTCTCTAGGATGCATGATCAGTGGAACAATGGTCATTGGTCAATGGTCAATGTAATGCAATACAGACTTGAAAAGACAGAAATAACATGACCACCCAAAAAGGAAAAGGAAAGAAAGAAAGAATGGCACGCTTGAAATGCGCATGCAGTAGTCGTTGAGTTTAAACATCAATAATGACAGTTGCAATGAATCAGAAAGAATCATATACACATAACTGAATGTGTGGTTGCAGCAGAGACACAAACTGCTGCAAATTCAAACTAGGCCTAGATTTATGCCACTGATTCATTATTGGTTAGTCTTTCTGTCTTTTTTCTTTTTTCTTTTCAATAATTACAAACTAACATACAGTGAGAGCTAGAAAAAAGGTCATAGCATCCGTGTAGTCAGTGTGGGTTTAGTATATTATCGCTCCTCACAACAAGAAAGGCCACCCAACAAAAACAAAAACATACGGAGAGAGCTAGAGCTGTTAAAAACCCACAACCATGGCTTGAAAAGCTGCAGACCAATTTGTAACTTACTGGTAGATAGGCTTTAATTTTGGGTTCAAACCATAGGCCAGAAAAAAAGGTAACCCAATTTGGTGGGTCAGAAAACAATGTAACTTTGATCTTCTGGGCTCTACTAACAGATATAACCAGACCCAAATTCCGGAAGGGTTGATTTTGGAATGTAGGCCTACCTATCATATTTGGGCCAGCCTCTTACAAAACCATGCCTCCCTTGTATAGGGAGACTAAAACGAGGGGTTATAATGAGCGGATTCTTAATAGCCGTTTGATCTAGTGCAGAATGATTACTGAACTGTTGGAGTGAACCGCCTCAAAAAATCCCCTTATTATATAAGCTCCCCTCTTCTGCATGGCAGATTTACTCTTGTCCTTCACAAACCAAAGCCTTGCTCAATATTATTTTCCTGCCAAGCAATTTTCTTTCTTGTTATACAGAAAACCAACCTTCATAGATTTCTTTTATGGGAAGATGCAATGTTACAGTTGAGCCATGGGGACAGCACAGCCACATTATCCTTGCACTGTTCACCTGAGGATCAGGGCAAAAAATTGAATATTAAAGCATGGGGTAGCTTAGGTTTGTTATGTTTGTTGCATGAATATTGAAATCTTTAATCGCATGCTTATCTTTCTTTATATATGTGCATTGTGTGCAACTTTCATTACAATTATTAAACAATTGTGCATGGTTGGCCATGGCCTTCCACAGACATGGGACAGGTCATGAATATGGCATTATCATTTATCTTCTACAGTCTTCTACGGATTTTAAAGTTATCATTATGGATACCCTGCCCTGCCCTGCCCACTTGAACTTCTTTAATATCTCAATACAATTATTGAAAATTTGAAACCCTAACAAGAGCTCTACAGGGTCTAAAATTGCACCAATTTTTTTATTTTAAATATTTATTTATACAAGCGATATTGGGGTAAGGAGGAGTCAAACCTAAGACCTCTGTAAATACTCCTAATCACTTGACCAACCCCTTGCAAAATTGCATTCATTAAATGTTTAGGAAGAGGCACATAACATTGATTAGTTAAAATTGCATCATCAAAACTTTACCTGTTACAAATCTACAACTAGTATATTGCATCTCTTTGGCACAGCCTGTCTCTTTTTCAAGGTGAAAAGAAAAGAGAATGCGACCCCCAAAAAAAAGGTGAAAAAAATCAGGGAAAAGCATTCAAAATGGGTCCAGATAAGTGACCCACTGCATGATAAGAACATGCATTGGCAATGAGAAGAGATCCTCCAGTTGGCCTAAGCAACAAAAAAAGGGTACGGCCTGAAAAATGGGCTGGACCCTGAGAGCTTAGTCTTCAGAGTCAGACTTTTGCCATGCATAGCGGTCAACACTGAAACACTCACACCCTCTTTCTGCAGAAGCAGAAGCAGAAACATGACACAGAGAAAAGGGACCCCCAAGAATCTAACAGGCAAAGAGCCTGCCTAAGCTACCTTCCAATTTCTTCCCTTCCATTATCACTTTCGTTTTCACCATCATCACATGTCCTTTTCTGTTTCTGGTCTCAACTTGTTACATCCAAATTATATAACAAGTAAAGAAAAGCATAAAAATTCTTAACCTTTTATTTCTTTTGTGTCTTTTTCTCTTTTG